TTGGAGAATTTTCGTAGAAGTTATGACCGTTGAATATTTTTCTTGAAATGATAGCTGTTCGACAATGAAACGAAAATCTCTCACATTGTATTCATTAGGAAAATTTTAACAGCTATTATTAAAAAGAATTATTGAACGGACATAAAAATGTAAGAAAGTATCGCCAAGGTTACTGAAGGCTCGAAAATGTTAGTACATCTGGAACATACTCGTAAACAGCCACTTTATTGCTCTTCGTATTATAAATGTAGTCATTGTTTTTAATGCAATGAACGACCCTTGCGACTTGCCATCAAACTCGGCTAGCTTATTTACTAGAAAATATTTTGAGGCTTAAATTATTTGAAAATAATTGAGTGAAAAATATTTCTTAGAATCCGTCACAATCCGAAACTCGGTACGTGCTACCTTCGGCGATCTGCGCCGCACGTATGTCTTCAATGCCACCAGCAAGCATGAATTGTAAGAATGAATCAAGTACGACAAATGTTGCTTGCTTGCATAGGCCAAGCGAAGACGCTTGACCAAAAATCACCCCCACCACGATGAGTCCCGGAGAGGGGCAAATCTTCCACTTCACGCATTGCCGCCAGAGATACTTCTTCGATATTCTCATTGTCTAAGCCTAATTTCTTATGAAGTGGAAAAAGGGCGTGCACATTCATCACGCCGCCGAAAAGTGGCGCGCCCTGATTGGAAAACTAAGACCAGAAGCTCCTTGAGTGGCGAGTCATTGCTAGAGGCCTTAAAGATGGGAACGGCAGCGAAAAGTCGCTATCCGCGTGGGACAATTGGAACACTCTGTCCGCGTGGGCAGCCAAGGGCTGTCCGCAGAAAGAATTCGAGAAAACGGTTCGCGTGCGCAGTCAAGAGCGAACAGAATGAAAATTCAAGTAATGGAGACTAATTGTCTATAGAAGCCAAGTTTGAAGATAATTCAACGCAGGAATACGTGTTAATAAATTAGAAACAAGACTTCTGCATCTCTGTGAGTATAAGAGTCATCCTGCACGTATTTGCTTTGCCGCGTGCCCTGGTGACTAACTCACCCCTGGATCAGATCAAGACTACTGAACTCCTGTAGTTAGTTGTTGATCGAATTTTAACGTTTTAATTTATGGCTCGAACTGCCGTTTCAATAGTTCAGTGGATTAATCTCTCGCCATAGCGATTGGGAAAAAAGAAGGCACAAATGGAAGAGATGAAAAGTATTATGTAATATATTTGAGTTCGATTATTAATTTATTCTCCTTATGAATTATAATATTCTAGCATTATTGGTTACTTCTATTGAGATTGAGAATTATTCTATTGTAGTAGTATGAATTCTTTCTTCTGCTCTTGATTGTCTGAGATTTGAATTGCAGTTCGCGCTGGGGCAAGTGAGACTGATGTAAGATGCACTACACAATAATAATACTAAATATAGAATTACAATGAGCACTAAACTGAATTTATCGTAGAACAATACTGAGAGCCAGATGTGTAGTGACTGACTAGATGTTAAACGTACATTGCGCAGCGCGTCAAGGGCTGCTCTTAGATATTCACGTAGGAGCTTGCGACGCCGGTAGCGCACCGATGCCTGTTGCTATGCCGATCATTATGGTGACGTCACTAGAATCTAACCTTGGAAGTTCATCGGCATTGATAGTCGGAATTAGAATCTAATATTCGAGTATTCAGCGTAGTGAAATTTCCCGACTTCGCAGAATTGTGTTTATAACGTAAATGTCTAGGTGTTTATACCACTCCCACTTTTGTATTCCGCATTTAACTGCTTCAATTCCGAACAGTAGTTTTTATCCAATAACTATAATAATCGATATAGAATTCTTTTTTATTTACTTAAATATAGTTTGTTATAATAAATAGTTAATTTGTATGATTAAGAAAATGCTTACTTATACGCTTTACTTATAAAATGATAATTATTAATTTAAATAACATAAATAAGATTTTTTTGCAAGTTTGAAATAAAATTCCATTTCTTCTTAACTTATTTATGCAGATAAAAGAATATTTTTCATTAATTATATTTGTATCATATAATAGTACTTACTACTGATTTTTGTATTTTTATTTCAAATATACTTATATCTGGTTGGGAACTATTGAAATTTGAATAAATACTATCTTAAAAGTCTTCACCTATTCGGTATTGTATCATTATTTATAATTTATGTTTATGCAAAGTTTTGTCGTATTTCAAATAATTACATATTTCTAATCTCTTTTCTACATATTTCTCGATGTGAAGTATTGTTGAGTATGAATTTTTTAAAATTATAGTGAAGATAAGTAAAAATTAGCAATATTATTTCTATCAGGTTAATAAATAATATATCTGTAGTTAAAACATACTATTTGTTTTCTTTTATTCTTTGATTCTCTATATTGATTAAATATACACATTATGTACAAAATGTATTCGCCGTTCCGACTTGTTTTACCAAGACCGATTCGAAGAATACAAATTCATGCCGTTGACAACTCTGAGACCACGGATGTTGTGTGGTAGCGATGTAAGGTCAAAGTGGAAGGGATATTATAATAATTCAATATAAATATGTCTGGTGTATATGCTGTTTATTCTGTTATTATCCGATTACAGGGCGTTGACTAGTATTACAATTATCAATTATTAAAAATTTGTGGTGGATTACCGCGTTTGCTATAGCAAACGTACACTCATCTAATGCAGCGTGATGTTTCGAATATGGCGTGAAATGTGATTTGTCGACACTTGCGCTGTTCGCGTGGGTACGTGCTTAGTTAAGGTTATGGTTTATAATGTAACGCGACGTACGCAACTATGGTTCGTTGAGAAAACACTCTCGCCGTAGCAAGCGTACCTTCGTCCTGATATTGGCGTACTGTTATTCAGATAAAAGTAAGAGTTTGTAAAGCTTTTACCTCATGAAGGACACTGCTACGTATTACATCTGATATGAGCATTGAATGGCACGCTCTGTAGATTCATAAGCATCAGACTTTGAAGTAAGGTGAGGGTAAGGCCGGCAAGACTCTCAACAGGTGGCGCGAACTTGACGAGTTTGGACTTATTCCGCACTGATTCTCTGGTGAGAACCTCAATTCCTTATGGTGCTTGTCGATGACTTAAAACTCTGAAACTTAAACGTTAATTGATTATGGTAGTAGTGATACTACTTACGAAGACTAATAGTAGACTCAGTAGCGGGACTATCCGATTCCTTCTTGATAAGGACTGCCACTGGACACTTGTCTTCGAATTCCGATAAGGGAATACGTGGCCTGTCCTTTAGGGCTTGTAACGACAGTTATCTTGAACTACGTTAAAAGGGAACACCCACTTCTTATTTGAATAAGTACTTTATCGAGAGTGATTAATCTCGTAGTTGTCTCTCTTAAGTACAGTACTGACAATGGGTTTTACTTGGGATTCCTTCCCCGTCTTTGTGTCCAATTAGAGCGCGGGTTTTAGGCTGCATGAGTGAGCATGCACGCCCTTTTTCCCACTTCCGAAGAATTAGGCTTTGGCGATGATAACACCGAAAAAGTATCTTCGGCAGCAGCGCTTACGAGTAGGCTCGCCCTTCTCTTGGACTTAGCGACGTCGGTGGTTCTTAGTCAAGCATCGTTGCTTAGCGCGTGCGAGAGACAATTTCGGCTTACTTGACAATAATGTATGCATTGTTTCTTGACGTTGATATATGTACTTGCCGAAGATTGCCCATTGTCGCGCGTGTAGAGTTTTGGGTTGCAATGAATATTTTGGAAATAATTTTATACTCGGTAGTTTACGTAGATCTGACTCTCTTTCAGAATCTCCGCTCTCTTGGCAATAAACAAGATCGTTTAAACGGAGCGGAAAATAATGAGCGCGTTTGATATGCGAAAATAAATAAAATAACTATTCACGTGTGTTTTCCAGATGTACTGACCTTCTCGAGTATTCACCGACTGTGGGTATTTTGTGGCAAGAAAAATGTTCTCGCGATCTCGAACACATAAATACATAATATATTGAAAAATTATTATCTTAATAAATGAAACATGTTTCTTTTATATCTTATTAACTAATTTTATTTGAGAGAAAGAATGTACTTATATGGAATATAAATAAAGTAAAATGTTCGCACAAAACAAGTTTTTATGAAATGAAATTTCAAATTATGTTGTCTTTAGGCAAATATTAATTTAACAGTTTTGACTATTTGTACAATAGAGTTAAGAGTAAATATTAATCATGTAATTTAATTTAATTTAATCATTACATATTTAATACTTATTTATATGTTTAACAAAATTTAATAAATAAATAAATAAATATATATATATATATATATATACACATATATAATGCCTGTTCACTAAGAAATACAACAAATAATAAATTTTTTATTAATTCATTGCAAATATACAAAAATATGCAAGAATAGACTATAGACAAGAATAAGCACGCTATAAGATTGTAATTAATCATCAATTTAAAAATAAAAATCGCCGTAACTATATTATTCAAGAAATTTCAATTAAGCCGTAAAAAAAGAAAGTGAAAATATATAAATCGAGATCACATTTGTAACGACACAAAATTAAAAAAGAATACAAAAACCACAATGTTTTCTCAAAAAAAAAAAAAATAAAACAAATTCCAAGTATATTCCTATGATTTACTGGTGCATTGAATGGTTATTATTCTAACAATTATTTGCAATATGATATTCAAATTTAAAGAATAAATTATATCAGATATCTGATATTATCATTATTTAAAAGACAATTATGTGACAATAATTTACTATATAAAAAATAATAATTAAAAAATAATTATAGAACTATTAAAATTATATTAGGAAACTATTTTTAATTTTATCATACTAAATAGAACTATAGATTTTAAAAGTAAGTCTGAATAATATTCTGATTCATAATTATTAATTTATCTATATACTTACAATAATATTTTTTATATAATACAATAAGCCAATTATTAAATTGTATAATAACTTTAGAAGATGATTGGAGCAATGCCAGCAGTTGCTGTTCGTCATGAAAGGCGTCGGCAAGAGAATAGAATCAAACGTCCAAGTCAATTATATCTTGGAGGTCATTGGACTCAACCTCCTCAAATGTCTCCACTAACACCAAATTCATATATTCAAAATAAACATATAGAATCGCTACCAGAAGTATATTTATGTGGAAAGGTATAATAAACATTAGAATATATTTTTTAATAAAATAAAAATGTATATACTTTTAGAATTATAAATAGAAAATTTATTTAAAAAAATATATATTTTTTCAATATTATGAAATAAATGATAATATACTAACTATATAGTATTATAAAATTATTATACTTCGAAATTATTTAAAGATTTTTCATTTTGATTTTTTTTTTCAATTCATTGTTAGATTTGATTATTTTATAATTGAGAACATGAGTTTTTGTTCATAAGAAAAATTTCTAAACTTTACTTCCTTGTTTATTTTGTTTACTTTTAATTTTCTTTGATTAATATTATGAATCAATTACTGGACTATATAGAATTTGAGTTTTCTCTATTTATTCTGTACTTTTACATGTAAGAAATAAAAGGAAAGGTCACATATCCTTAGTATACTTTTATGAGCTTTTACATTATTAAACCCTATCTAACTCCTGAGATTTATTTATATAATTCACTTACATAAAGTTTTTTTATAAGGAATTGAAATAATATTCTCTGGATAATGTTAGCAATAGTTTATTATATCAACTGAACAATGTAGTCTGATAAGATATATATATATATATACATATAATATATTTTTGATTCCCATTGTTATTAATAATTAATATAATAATATTTAATTATAATATATACAATATGCAATATATATACAATATAATATATGCCACAGATTTCTGGCTTGCACACTGTTGTGATTTGTCTTCTTCTTGGAGCAGTCATATTAGTTGTCGGATTAGTACAACTTGCCCCAGGAGCAACAACATCTGATCATAAATTGGCTTTACTTATATCAGGATCTTTACTACTTTTATTTGGTAAAACCATTTTCAACGTTTATTTATGTATGTTACTTACTAATATTTGAAAACTCAAGTATCCTTTTATATTTAATTAAAAAATACAGTAATATATGTATGAAATATTTTACAACTAATATTAATACTTTGTACATTATCGATAGTATATTTTGATGAATTGATTATATAAACATTGTATATGCAATCAAAAAATTGTATTATAGGAAGTTACAAACTTATTAACAAATTTTTAACAAAAATAGCAGTAAATTAGATATCTTACTATACAATGGGTAGGTCAAAGCTCGAAATATATTTTGCCATCTGTAGCTTGTAAAAGATATTGTCTACATGTACTAACGAATTTTGAGATATAGTAAAATATTATTGATATGTAAGTTTTTCGTCTTATTTTTAGCTTCAAAATTTTAAATTGTTTATTAAGTATTTTAGAGATAACCTGCTCAATGTCCATATTTATAATGTCAAAATCCATACCCTAATTTCATGATTTAGTATCTGATCACTTATAGTATTTTATTCAGGAGCAAAATTCAGTAGCGATATAATGTCAAATACACCCGAAACAGTTATTCTTTACTCATTCTAAGCTTTCCTTAATTGAAATTTTTTAAAAATAATATCAAATATAAAAAAATCTCCAAACCTGAACTCGAGCTTAATGTAATGATATGAATAATTATACTATATGGCTTTTTTATACAAATACCTAATTGGATATCAGTATTTATTTAGATATATATTTAAGATAGACAATTTGTTACATTCCTTAGTACATGTCTTTATTTTACTACGAATGTGTGTTAATAACTATACCTACTCTTTTATTGTTTTAATGACACTACACTTTTTGTAACTTTTACGATTTACAGATTATATTTCTATATAACTTCATTATATTATATTATATTATATACTATAAATATTGGGATGACGTATTTCTGACTTGTGCCTGATACTCAATTTTATTAAATTAATTATTATTTTTTATTAAAAAAAAAAGAACTTTATTTCATTCAAAGCATTTTGATTAAAAGATGGAAGTGGGTTTATCGACTAGTTTAACTAAATTCAATTTAAATCTTTTTTCTATATAAAAGCTGATTTGTTCGGTACAGTTCATCATAAAGTATATTACACCATGCCGATATGTTCAAATTTAAAGTAACCACTTTTCATAAATAAGTTTATGACAAATAAATATAAAATGCTAAGCGCAACAATTTATTTGCTTTCTGCATATTTAATAAGAAAAATTTAAAAGGAAATATATGTTTCTTAACGTAGATTATTCGATAATATTTCGATAGAATTAAAAAAATGTTATCATTTAAATATAATAACTTAACCTTTCTCAGATTAATTCTTCAAATATTCTTCAGTAATTAATTATTTACCAAACATGTTTCAATTTAATTAATATCTATAAATATGTTCTGTTTTAGACGAAGATATTTTAGTTCCACAATTTTTTTCCATTTTGCTGTACATACAAATTATACTTTAAAAACAATTATGTTAATTCTATTAAATTATTGTATCGTAGTCTATACATTTATTACCTGTAAAATAATTATTTAAAATGTAAACACAAAATATAAAAAAAACATAAATTATAAAATTTAATAAATGTTATGTATGAAAAAACTATAAAATTAATTCCATTTATAATTTATAAAAAGAACAAAAAAAATAACTAATAGTTATTTTTAACAATTATACCTGACATTTTCAGATAAATGTTTAATTGTCAGTGGTATACGTTACATCTTACTATTCATTACCTCGTGGTAGTTGATCTATGATTTTATGGTCTATCTGTCATAATCTGTATTAATTATGCCTGTACTTAATAGTATATTAAGTAATAATTAATAGTTCATTTTAATTAATTTTTTTAATTTAAAGTTTGTTAATTCATCATTAAAAATGAAAACAAACTAAAAATGTATTTAGACAAAGTGTTAAAAGACTGTTAAATTTCATTTATAATAACATAACATTCATAATATGGACAATATTCATGTTATAATATGTTTAAAAAAATAATTATACATTAAAAAACTTATAAATCGACACAAAAACTGTTCGGGAATAATCTTGATTAATAATCACTAATAATTTTATGTCTCGTAAATGTACCTTTATTATTATTAAATATTCAAAACTATATTATTATGATATTATAATATTAACGTTTCTTCACTATAATGGTACATCCAATGATAAGCTCGTAATTCAACTGATGCCATTAACTATTAAATTATTAATTTTATTTACGTTATTCGAATTTCAGATATAATTTTGTATTTTTACTATTATTTATTTATTTTTTTTTTATATTTTTTTTTTAATTTATTTAAATTTAAATTTGTACTATAATTTACTATATAATCTAAGAAGCTTAATTTTTAAAACTATAAGAATTAATATTTAAATCCTTTACAACATACTATTATATTTCTTGACAAGTTAATTATGATTTTCACAAAATATAATAATTTACTATTAAATAATGGCAATTTAAGACTTTTGTCTTAAAAACTATATATATATTTAACTGTGAATTATCTATTCATATGAAAAATGTTGCACCAAATATAATTATTTAAGTATTAAAAATAGTTTTAAGATTTAATATTCTACATTTGCTTTATTTATTGAAGGTAATTGATTCTTTTCAGGCTATTAAAAATATGTCTTTTATTAATTTGATGAATGAATCCATTACAAATATAATATATATTTATATATTTTTATCTATTTTAAAAATTTCATACATAAAATATATTTTATTATTAATTAAATTTTTACAAGTATAATTTAGCAACATTTTATGTTAAATAAAGCACACTTACAAGGTATATAAGAGGTCGTAAATCTCTGGTACTTTCTGTAATGCCACGTGAAGGTAACGTATTAGAGAGCTGCCCTTTTCGGCTTGGTGCTCTTACTCATAGCGATTCAGTTGCCTTGCCGAATCCTGTGATGATTGCCTAGATATTGCGCTTCTTATAGTCGTGTTCGTTCTTGTAATGCAGTGAGCACTCTTGACTGCTTTAAAGTATTACGCACTTGATGGCTGAACTGGTATTAAATATAATGGTTTCACTGTATTGGCGTAACTAGCTTATAGCTGTAAAGTCTGACTGAATGATATAAACACAATGAGTGTAACTGAGTGACAGAATAATTTACAATGAGCCTGCAAGCTTGTTGAATACGCACACAAAAACTGAAGTCTTGTTTGTTCCGTGGCAGCTCTGCTGAGAGATACCGACTATTCCATGGCGGTCCTACTAAGAAAGATCATGATCCGTGTCATGGTGCCTTCACTGAGAGAGAGAGAGAGAGAGAGAGAGAGAGAGCGGGTCTCGTCGTATGCTCGATACGGCAGCTTCCTTAGATGACAACAAAGCATCGTTGTTGCTATACTGGAATCTTACACGAGGCGCAGAAAGAAAACTCTAGAAGTTTCGAAAATTTTAAGAAAAAACAAGGTTTAAGAGATTTGGAGAATTCCAAACAACATTACTACTCGAAAACCATATAAACATTGTACGCCATTTGAAACCAAACATAATGAGTACTCAAAAAATCTCGTATACAAGTGTTTACAGAAACTTGAGAGCTAGAGGGACTAGCGATGCCGAGAGCCAATTAGAAGGAAATTACTTCAATCCCAAAGAGTCATATATTTAATTCGAATTACACTTTCAATGTTACATCTACTGATTGATATTCGTTCTATTTACTTATTAGACATTTGTTTTAAGCATTAAATGAAAGTTTTATATTTTCAATTTTTTACTATTATTTGAAAACTATAATAATTTGTATACTAGAAAAATTAGTAGAAATTATCTTTTTTTTTTAATTACGAAATAATATAATTATACAGTTAATATTCCCACTATTTTTCTATTGCAAAAACACATTTTTTTTTACTTTGGCTTAATTATATTATCATATTAATTTGCTATCATAATTTTGTCTCCTGTTTCGCAGCTTTTCTTGAAATATACAGATATATTATCTCAAAACTATCGGTCAATATATTTCTTTTGGTTATGTCTTACACACCGTGAAAAAGTACATTATAAAGATTTATATACAAAGATATAGAGAGTAGAGAAGTTGATATGTTATTTTAAATAAATTTGCAATATTACAAAAGAAAATAGTTAATAAAAAGGTAAGCGAAAAACAAGAAAATGCAAGTCGGTTAAAAAATTTATCACGGTAAGTTTTTTATTTGAAACATTACTTTGTATATTTAAAAATGATTCAGCACAATAAATTTATATTTTATTATCAGTGTAACACAAACTTATGTATTACAAGTATTATTATTTACTACTTCATTAAATGTAACAGATAATCAAATTCTATAATATATTACCGATTTAATATTCCCTACTTTTTTTACTCTAAGATTACCTTTAGGATAAAGATTTTAATTTTATCATTGTTACGGATTACAGCAGTTTTAAGCGATATATAAAGTGGGAGAATTAAAGACATCTGTGCTTGGTTAGAAACATTTGCGCGCCGAAACAATAAACACAATTCTGCGAAATCGGGAAACCTCGGTACGCAAAATATTCTAATATTACATTATAATTCCAACTAACAAGACCGACGAACTCCCCAAGGCAAGACTCTAGTGGCGTCACTCTAACAATCGGCACAGCAAGAGTGATTCGGTAGTCACCGGATCTGCAAGCCTGTACTAGGATATTTAAGGAGCTGCGCTTGACGCTCTCGCCCTTGCTAGTACCGATCACGTGCTCTTCACATCAGGCTCGCTATCCAACCTGCAATCGCCATCATGAAGCCGTAGCAAGCATCAAGCAACCTAAGGAACTAATAGCGATGCTACAACTATACCGGCACCCACGCCTCCATAAGCAATGCACCATGCTCGTTACTTACTACTACTCTTACTAGTTCAATCAAGCATTCATCAAGACAGGATCGCCATTCTACAGATCGAC